AGAGAGAGAGAGAGAGAGAGAGAATTGAATGATGCGCGCAAGGAAAGATCGAAAGTTGAATTACGTCAGGTTTGAAGTTTTTGAGCGGACGGATTCAAATCCGCGAGGGAATTTTTTGGAGTCGAGGTTTGGCGAAGTTTGATTTTGGGCACGTTGCAAGATGTAAGATAAGATGTCTCTTGGGTTCAAATTTGGAAGTTTAAACGATTAGCTTGATGAAGCTTCATCAGGTAAAATAAATTTTCAATAAGCTGATTTCATTTTGATGCATGATTAAGGGTTTCTTGGAAGATTTGGATTAGGTAAAGTTGACATTTACATGATCAGTAGATGAAACTTCATTATATTTTTATGACACGTTGGAAGATGACTTAGGTCAGGTTCATCAAATTTTAATCAATCAGGTTGATCACGAAGCTTGATTAAAATTTTAATAAGTTGATTTTGCACATGTTGGAAAACGGAGTGTTTCTTGGAAGATTTGGATTAAATCATCAAATTTAGGAGTTCAATAGACAAAGCTTGATCAAATAAATAAAGATCTACAAATAAATGTTGTTTCGACGTTGGATGATCGAGTTCAAATTTGAAAAATTTAGATCAGTAAACAAAGCTTGATTAAATAAATAAAGAACAAGTTGATTTTGAACGTGGTGGAAACACAAAGGATTTCTGGACGCGGATCAAATCGAAGCTGGGAATTTGGGAGTTCAAACGATCAGCACAAATGGAACTTACTTGAACAAATAAAAATTTTACTAACTGAGAGTGAATTGATTTTTGAATAAATTTAAGAGAGAGCTCGGTAATTGTGAACTTGGATTGGATCTCAGGCTTAAATTTGAACGATCAAGTAACTAAGAACTTGACGAATTAACCTCTCGAGAACAAAGATCGAAGATGACACGATGACACGATGTATCTCTGAATTACGATCGACGAATCGCCAGAGATTAGCGGGCCATCGAGCGTCGCAAGCCAAGTTCCCCGAAATGCGAGACTCGACGGAGAAGAAGAGGGATGAAAAATCGGCCGATCGGACGACTTTGAAGGCCGTTCAAGGGATTTTTCGTAGCATCTGCCTACTGTCCTGAATATGTCGTGACGAAGGGTAGAGGATCGATTCTCATTCACGTGGAGCACGCAGAAGGACGGTAAGCCGGATTATCCTTGCGACGCTTTGGCAAAATATCCCGCGGGAGGATGCTGACGACCGACTCGAATCTAAGGGGCTATTTTCTGAAAAACGTCCACGCTTCCCTTTATCGCTGTAAACGCTCGTTTCCCTTCATTCCTTTCTTCTTTTTCTTTCTCTTAAATAACTATGACAACTATGAATAAATCAACGTGCAAGTCTGTACAGCGTGCATAAGTGGAAGAAATCGAGAATATTGAACATTAAAAATTTCCAACGTGTTCAAAATGAAGCTCGTTTTCATGTAAAACGATTTTTTTTTTTTTTT